GCAAGAGCCCGTTCAAAATCGATACAGCGGGACCCCTAGACTATGAGAACTCGGCACTTCAAAAGACAGATATGCTTGTGACGGCCACTGACGGGTACTGCTCCTCACCTCCATGTCCACTCAGACTACAGGTACTATTTATCTGTCCATTAGTCGGTCCATCTGCCTACATACCTGTATAACTGCTTGCCTGTCTGTCTCTTTGTCTGTCTCGCTGTCTACCTTCGTTGGTTAGCTGTAAGTCGTTAGTGGAGATTCCAGCCTATTACAGTCGGGTTGCTGCATCCACGTGCAAGTAAAAATCGCATGAAAATGTCCTCATCAGTCCCAGCAAAATCTTGAAGCAAAGTAAAAATGTATAAAACACCTTTCGCACGTGTACTGCGCTGAGCTTCTCCTGCGTAAACGTCTATTGGTTTGTGTTTCATTGTGTTTGGTAATGGCAGGTGACCTCATGCAAAGAAAAAAGCTTACTCAGGGACGGCAAGTATGACCCTCGAAAACGCAAGAAGCGATGCGGACAAATGCAAACACGACCAAAGTGTGAAAGGATACGACTCAGACAAACACATATTGTATACCAGAACTCTGCCAGTCTAAGACAGCCACGACCCGTTCTCTACCGTTTGAGATACTCAGCAGATATCATCGCTCTACAAGAGACAAAACTCAGTGATGAAGAAATAAGGTTAACTGGCTTTTACAACAGAAAACACGTTGGACAAGCTATATATTCTCCTGCGGAAAAACATCATGGTAACTCTAGTAGATATGTCTACATGGAGAAATCAAAATGTCCACTACTCACTGTCATTGTACAAGTGACTTTGCTATCGTTGTACCTTCACGTGAGGTACACATTAAACATATCCCTCATCAAAGTAACTACACAACCATTCACTCTAATTTATATTTATATTTACAACCGAAGTTTGATGGGTACGTTGTCGTGGCTTTTCTGAAGTGAAATAATCCAAAGCATGGGCCAGGTGATATTCTATGGTGATTTCAATATCAGAGGAAGATTGTGGGGGAAACCTTCGTTCTAATCTACAAGGTGCGGACATGGAGGAGGCACAGTTACATACTGATGTTGTGACAGGTACTGAATTATCAGTATGCAAAACACAATTGGAAAACTGCTTAAAAAATAGTGGCAAGGAAATTTACTCATAGATTAGAACAAACAGGTAGACTACCATCAACATTGGGAGGACTTAGACCAAATAGGAATACGTAGTGTAATGTTGCCGTTTTTCCAAACGATGTCTATGAAGGTTTCCATGTAGGTGGAAACATATGTTAAGATGCTGAACTTGGAAGATGCACACAGAATGGTTGCCTTTGAAAAACTCATACACCAGCTCCTAAACTCATTAACTGGATAGCAGCAGCACTCTTGAAGAGACAGGTCGGTTTCCAATGTAAAAGATGGATCTCTGATCCATACACCCAGGATTGCCCCAGGGATAATCTTTTTCCCCAGTCCTTTTCTATATTTTCACTTTTGATGTATCAAAATATGAAATCACACATGCCCTCTAGCAAATAAATAGAGAACAGACTGAACTTTTAAAATACCTGGGCGTTTTGATCGAAGCATTTGCTGTAAATTCCAAGTTGATATTATGACCAACAAGGCTTGAACGCGTCTGGCTGCAATGAAAGTATGGCTGCCAAGTGTGGTCAAAAAAGACTGCTAGTCATCCTTCATGAGGTTTGTTACTCTCTGCCATAGAATATGACTGTCAAATCTCATTCTCAGCAAGACACAAATCGACAGACTGGAAAAGGTACAAAAGGAAGAAATGCGCATCATACTTGACTGCACACTTTTTTTAAACAGTGGGAAAAAGGGGGGGGGGAGGGGGGGGGGCTGTGAAAAAAAGGGAGGGGGTGGGGTGTTAAAAGTCGACTAATTAGAGGTGCTTCTGTGAACTGTATGCTGCCAACAGAGACTCAATCTGTCCTGTTCCAACTTCAGTGAGGACAAAGCTTTGTGGTACACAGGGAGATATGGGGCTGCACAATACCTTTCCTAACGGCTACCGGCCTACTGAAATTAGTTTTCTGACAGAAGTATTGAAGAAGAATAAAAGGTGTTTCCTTCACAGTCGGAGTGCATCTACCTGAGAAGAGAGGAGCCAGTACTCGGCATACAAAAAAGCCAGATCTTTAAAATGGGTGTTCACGCAAAACACAAGTTCTATAACAAAACCAAAGTCCAGAATGAACGAACAAACAGAACTTTCTGGAATTCACAGCTTGTACAAGCTAAGAAGAAGGGAAGGGAGCAGGTGAGGCCATTACCAGTGCCCTAAAAAGAACTTCCTTACAGGATGAACCAGGTATATATGCCTGCCCTGTTGGTCTGGCACCAGCAACGAGACTGATTTAGTTGTATAGTGTCAGAATGTCTTGCTGGTTTTAGTCGAGGTTTCAACTGTACTGCATTCGGGTCACCCCCCTACTTACTGTGTCAGTGAAAATCAAATGAAATGTCCTCACTGTTCATAAAAAAAAAAAAAAAACCTAATGAACAATTAGTCCCGACGCAATCCAGAAATATTCGCACGCAGTAAATGCATAAGGTAGTTTGGCAGTGGGTCACGATAAGTTGGCTATACACACGTAAAATTATGACATAAGGTATTCCGCCAGCCCACACGTAAAGTGGTTAACAGTCATATTGTATACCCCGACTCAAACGCTGCATAAATCAAAGGTAAAGCACATAAAAACTTAGCTCACAGTGCTGCCCCAAGCATTACCTCATTAACTCAGTAGCTAAAGCAGTGAAATCGTAGACCTCCATCCATATGCGGAAACTGTATTAGCAAAGCGCTGTCAGATGCATTAATAAATTCGAAGCTAAACATTCTGCCATGCCTAGTCCTCCAAATTGATCTGCATTTCAGACTGAGATTTTCTGGTCTCAGAGTGTGAAACTTTTAAAGTTGCAGCCTGGAAGGAAAAAAAAATGGTGGGTGGGGGGGGGGGGGTGGGAGTAAATGAAACGCATGCTCTGTCTCATATTTCATCAAGGATGACCTGAATGCCAAAACAGTTTTGAATAACATGCGTTATCAAGAGATACCCATTTAGATCCTTGTGACAAAACCACCAGTCCTGGTATACTCCAGAAATATTCGCCCGCAGTAAAAACATAAGGCAGTTGCCAGAAGCGCCAAAGCCAACAGTTGCATCAGAAACGCAGTTAACATCAGTGGTTCACATTTAGATTCCCGCAGATTAACAATAATGATAATGTGAACATCGACAACCACAACTTGTGAATAATGCCTTTAAAATCTTTCCACAGGTAACTAATGTAAACGAAAAACCTACAATAACTCCTGTAGATTCATCATACACAATTTGTGAAGGCAAGGTGAGTATTAATGTTCGTTCGAAAAAGGGTATATGCCAGTAAACAAAACACCAACGTATAAAATTAAAAATAAAGATCCCTTTTCACGTCTTTCAGTGCATCAGGCATATGAGCAGAGCATCCCATATTTTTTAAAGCCCAATCGGCGCTAGGTGGGTAATGTGGCCGGCCGTCTTTACTTCTCCAGGACAGCCATCCTGGTACCCATTTCAGGCTGGGTCGACCTGCGACGTCCCATACCACGATAAAAATCCACGCAGCCCGCAGTTTCGATCACCGTACGTCGGATTACGAGTCAGACTCGCAACGCCTTAGCCACGGACACCGCAAGTAAAGATCCCTTTCCACGCTTTTAGGCGTATCGTGCATATGGGAAGAGCGCCCATATTTTTTACAGACCGTCAGCACTCGGTGGGTAATGTGGCCAGCATTACGCCGGCTGTCTTTGCTTTCCCAGGACAGCCCATCCTGGTACCCATTCTAGGCTGGGTCGACCTGCGGCGCCCCGTACCACGATACAAATCCTATACAGTAAAGTAAAGGACCCTTTTCCACGCCTTTAGGCGTATTGGGTAAATAGAGCTTGACCTAAATTTTATAGACCAATCGGCACTTGGTGGGTGATATAGCAGTAGCCACTAAACCAAAAGGACAATCGGACAAAGAAAAATGGATTAACAATCAAAATGTCAAAGCTACAAGCTACGACGGCCAGAAAGGCACAGCGTACGCTGATAGGTGCTTTGCTGGAGAAAAAAAAAACAAAAAAAAAAACACACACACGTTCAACCAGCATCCCTGAAAGGGGAACTTTAGGTTATAGTTGCGACTAACTTATGTGCCCCATATAAAATGACTTAGCATTCACGCCACTCATGCAGTGTTGATGCGATCAAAGGAGACGGACCCACTGTTCCGACGGCGAAGAAGTCATTTAAGGGCACAGCGTACCAGATAATTCTAGTAAATTCATGTCAAGTTGCTTGGATTTAAAAGTTAAGATAACGATCGACTGGTATCGATCTGAGAAAAGTTTAGTTAAGAATCGACATCACAGCACTCGGGACATTCCAGTAATCCGCTGTCCCGATCTTCAGCAGCCAGCGTCGAGTTCCAGTTTCGAAACCACCAAGAGTTGTGTGTTTGTACGCCTATAACCAGCTCTAGCTGCTGACGTCACCGGGTGGGGCTAACGATGCGTTGAAGTAGCAGTTCTCAAACTGGGTGCCACGGCACCTTAAGGTGCCGTGAGCATCGACAGTATTTATTTCTTCTTTAAGAACCGCTGTGTTAAAGCATCGTTAGCCCGACCCGGTGACGTCAGCAGCACGGCCGTTCAGCTAGAGCGGGTCATGGCAATCCCATTCTTCTTTTCCTCTGAGTGTAGAATGTCAGCCAGATCCCCTTGCCAGCTAGCGATGTACCATTCTTTCCAGATTCCAAAGATCTGTTTGCGCTCACGCATTATGCACTTGCTCCTAAACAACATTGATCGCATTTACCGTGATATGCATCAAGTAAGCCAACACGCTACCTCATCATCACCATCAAGTGCCTTGTAAGCTGATGCAGGCGTTCATGCATCTCCACAGATTTGGTTCTTTGGTGTTCTAGATCGGTTACATTGACAATATTCTCTCCATGCCACTATCTTGAGCCATCCACCATTATTTCTCTTGGTCTGCCGTTGCCTCTTCTACCAGTGATTTTTCCATTAGTCACGAAATTTTCCAGTGCTCGTTTTCTCATGACATGACCACATAACTTTGTCTCCTTCTCATTGTTGTATATAATGTTCTATTTTCATTACCCATGTCCAGGCAATCAATATTAGTTATTTTGACAGTCCAAGTTATTCGTAACTTTCTCCTGAAGAGCCACATCTCAGTTGCCTCCATACCCTGCTTAACTTGTTTGCACACATTCCAAAATCTGCGACTACTGAGTTGATATTCTATTTGCATGCATGATAACAATTTCCCATTTAATTAAAACTAAAATTAACACCGTTTTCTATTGCTTCCTTCCTAAAAAGGGTGAGTTTAATCCAGGATTAACAGTAATAGATCCAGATGCGAAAGATTCAGTCAAGTGGTCATTCAATTCACAAACCTCAAACAATCCAGGTCGGTTCTCAATCAATCCTACTTCCGGTGCAATCATTACACTTATCGACTATGACGTAGATGGCAACAAGGTAACCGGCCAAGCGCCAATGCCAGCAACACAGAAATTCATTCTTACGGTAAGTCTTAAGCGTCCGTAGTGTTATTAAACAAGTCATCATCATCATCATCATCATCATCATCAGTTTTCACCTTTCCATTAGGCAGCGTTCAGAGTAAGAGTTTGCGATCTAATGTTTGATGGCTAGCAATGGCAAGAGCCATATAGCGCCCATGTGGAATGCCTTTGATGTTATCAATCCATATACGCATAGGGTTACCTACTTGTTTCCCCATTAGATCTTGTAACTTGTAACGCCTGCGTTTATAGCTGTTCAAGCTGAACGAACGAACGAACTTTTTTTTCAAAGGGTCACAAATTGAGCACACAGGCCCGTCTTACATTCGGCCCTTCCAAACACCCCTCTTTCACACTGCAGCTATAACGAGATGACCTAGCCATTTGATCTTTAGTTTCTCAAAAAATTAGTGTATGGTGTTGTTTCCAGTCTATCTGATGATATCCTTTCTTAATTTGTCCTTAATAATCAAGATGGCGGCTTCCCTCGTGCATTTCATTCTCAGACGTTAATATTACATAGGTTAGCCTTTGATAATATTCAAGTTTGGCATTGCTAGCGCAGTGTTGGTAAATAGTTAGATGTCTAGGTAAGAAATGTAAATATGAATTTCTAATTCTTCTAAGGTGCATTGAATGGGTTATCAATGTAAAGACTTTGGGTTTTCGGACTGACAGTGCTAGGCTCCTATTTGTATGGACCAATAGGCACTCTTTTGATGATGTGGTCGCCGTCAAACCAATGGCCTTTATTTCCCAGGGCAGTTCCTTATATCCGTTTAACGATACCTCTGCCTGTAAGCCAGCTTCAATTTCAAAAAGAACATTGGCCACAATTCGGAATCGAATCCAAGACCTTCTGGCCCGCAGAAGAGTATCTAGCAGCTGAGCTTCCGTGGTTGCTACCTGGGCTACCGGGGGCTGTGTGTTTTCGAGGTATGGTGACCGCCTCGAGTGCTGGACGTCCGAGGTTCAGGCCCCGGTAAACCCTAGTTTTTTTTTTTTCACCTATACTTCTCATAATTTTCCCTGGTCTCTGGGCAGAGAGATCAAACACCCGTGTGTACTGTTACGCACGTAAACAATTTTTTTGGCAGTTGGAAATCGAAAAGAGTAGCCTAACGACACTGCCCGGGCAAATTTTCAGATAAAAAGCTACCCAAAATATTTCAGGATCCTCGCAGGTGCTACTGAATTAGACTTGAGTTAGAAATTGAACGGAGCACTTAGGGGTTACAACCCGTGTGCCATGATGTTGATCCGTAGTTCAGACCTAAAACTTCTGACCTACCGTGGTTCCTTCAAGTGGTAAGTTGCAAGGGCCTATAGCGGTATTAAAATAAGTTCAGAAACACCATAGCACTAACACAATTCCAATAATAACTCCATCCACATCTTCTGCAGTAAACGCAAAGTTCTTATTCCGATGGTACCACTAATAGTCTATATGTTCGTCTCGCCCCTTCCCTGAATGTTGAGGGTCTGCCAAACCTCCCTGGTCACTCCTCTCTTCAGACTGTGGTGATCTGTTTGTGCCTCTGCACTGCTTACTCGCTCCCAAAGAGCCCTTACAGATACCAGAACAGTTCTGAACCAGACAGTCTGTCTCTCTGTTTATTTCGCAACACACCGGCACAAGCTGAAGAAAATATACAAAGAACGCTAACTACCTGGGATCTTCAAACGATGGTTGCCACTCTGCACAGAGCATACATGCCCCCATCTTTCTCAGCACACATGCCCCCATCTTTCTCAGCACACATGCCCCCATCTTTCTCAGCACACATGCCCCCATCTTTCTCAGCACACATGCCCCCATCTTTCTCAGCACACATGCCCCCCATCATTCTCAGCATACGTGCCCCTATCTTTCTCAGCATACATGCCCCTATCTTTCTCAGCACACATGCCCCTATCTTTCTCAGCACACATGCTCCTATCTTTCTCAGCACACATGCCCCCATCTTTCTCAGCACACATGCCCCCATCTTTCTCAGCACACATGCCCCCATCTTTCTCAGCACACATGCCTCCATCTTTCTCAGCACACATGCCCCCATCTTTCTCAGCACACATACCCCCATCTTTCTCAACACACATGCCCCTATCTTTCTCCGCACACATGCCTCCATCTTTCTCAGCACACATGCCCCCATCTTTCTCAGCACACATGCCCCCATCTTTCTCAGCACACATGCCCCCATCTTTCTCAGCACACATGCCCCCCATCTTTCTCAGCACACATGCCCCCATCTTTCTCAGCACACATGCCCCCATCTTTCTCAGCACACATGCCCCCATCTTTCTCAGCAGACATGCCCCCATCTCTCTCAGCACACATGCCCCTATCTTTCTCAGCACACATGCCTCCATCTTTCTCAGCACACATAACCCCATCTTTCTCAGCACACATGCCCCTATCTTTCTCAGCACACATGCCCCCATCTTTCTCAGCACACATGCCCCTATCTTTCTCAGCACACATGCCCCCATCTTTCTCAGCACACATGCCCCCATCTTTCTCAGCACACATGCCCCTATCTTTCTCAGCACACATGCCCCCATCTTTCTCAGCACACATGCCCCCATCTTTCCCAGCACACATGCCCCCATCTTTCTCAGCACACATGCCCCTATCTTTCTCAGCATACATGCCCCTATCTTTCTCAGCACACATGCCCCTATCTTTCTCAGCACACATGCCCCTATCTTTCTCAGCACACATGCCCCCATCTTTCTCAGCACACATGCCCCTATCTTTCTCAGCATACATGCCCCTATCTTTCTCAGCATACATGCCCCTATCTTTCTCAGCAGACATGCCCCTATCTTTCTCAGCACACATGCCCCTATCTTTCTCAGCACACATGCCCCTATCTTTCTCAGCACACATGCCCCCATCTTTCTCAGCACACATGCCCCTATCCTTCTCAGCACACATGTCCCCATCTTTCTCAGCACACATGCCCCCATCTTTCTCAGCACACATGCCCCTATCTTTCTCAGCACACATGCCCCTATCTTTCTCAGTACACATGCCCCCATCTTTCTCAGCACACATGCCCCCATCTTTCTCAGCAGACATGCCCACATCTTTCTCAGCACACATGCCCCTATCTTTCTCAGCACACATGCCCACATCTTTCTCAGCACACATGCCCCTATCTTTCTCAGCATACATGCTCCTATCTTTCTCAGCACACATGCTCCCATCTTTCTCAGCACACATGCTCCTATCTTTCTCAGCACACATGCTCCCATCTTTCTCAGCACACATGCCTCTATATTTCTCAGCACACATGCCCCCATCTTTCTCAGCACACATGCCCCCATCTTTCTCAGCATACATGCCCCCATCTTTCTCAGCATACATGCCCCCATCTTTCTCAGCACACATGCTCCCATCTTTCTCAGCACACATGCCCCTATCTTTCTCAGCACACATGCCCCCATCTTTCTCAGCACACATGCCCCTATCTTTCTCAGCATACATGACCCCATCTTTCTCAGCATGTTCTCTGAGTCAGCTATGAGGGTTGTTCCAAAATCAACCTTCGATTAGCTGGTTAAAATACTGTTTGCCAAGGCCACACTGTTCATTGATTGCATCATTGATTAGTCTTTTAGCTCACTATACATTAACCAACTGTCGCATTACTTCAGTGGTTCACAAATGGTGAAGGATTAAACATGGACACTGTTATTGCCTTCTCCGCTAGCTGTGAACTTCGTGGTGTGGTTCATTTTTCGTTGCGAAAATGATTGGCTTTATTTTTTTTCCGCTTGTTTGAAGTATTCCTTCGTTGTTTTGACTGTTGCTTCTTCTCTGCAGTCACGAAGTGAAGCCATGTCTCCTCCCCATTCACTATTGTATCCAGACATTCATTCTCATATTACTAGTAGTGCCTAAGAAACATCAAAGCTGAGCCAGTTCTGTGAGGTTTGTGAATGTCAATCAATTGCTTTGCCCCCCCCCCCCTTTTTTCCTCTTACCTTCTTTCCCGTGAGCAGCACTTATGGTAACTAACCTCTTTGTGACAATCTGAAACAGACTAGTTCTAAAAATATGTTGAAATTGTGAAACGAAGCTTTTCAACTCTGACTTGATGGATTTTTTGAATGAGTTCACCTGTCACACATGAATACAATCCTTGCCCATTCTCATCATGCACATCTTTACACCCATCTATGAAATTACTACACCAATCCCTTACAGAATAGTCATTCAAAACGTTTTCACCGTACACACGACACAGTGGATGTCGAATCTCTGCTGCATTTTGAGCTTCTGCATGAAGAAAACAAATAACACCTCGAATTTCACAGCTGGCGGGAAAGGCAATAACAGTGTTCCTTAACAAGTGAACAAACACGACTGCTAGCTAATTGGAAGTTGATTTTGGAATAGCCCTCGTATAATTCCTACATGTGTCTAAAGTTGATTTTTAAGCCAGCGAATAAACTAAATAGAAGAAAAGGAATTAAGCAAGTAAAGTAATTAAAGGACTTTATTAAAGCAATTAGGACATCTGACATATGGCATGAAACTTATTCTATACATCAATAGTCCCTGTTACTATCATTCTTCTTCGTCTGCCTTTCTAGCCCCCAGTGGAGCATAGGCCCTCAACCAAGTCACCCTAAGTCGTTGCATCCTTCCCTATCGTATGCCGCTCTCCACAAACCCTCATCTTGTTTAACTTCGCTCTCTAGCTCTTTTCTCCCTGTGTTTTTTAGTCTTCTTTTATTTCCATGCCCCTGTGGGTTCCAGTGCAAGGACATTCTAGTTTTATTATCAGGTTTTCTCTAAGTGTGTCCTACCCAACGCCAGCGTCTTTTCTTCACCTCACCCCTTAGTATACTGGAACTTGATTAGTTCTCTCCCAGAGCTCTACATTATGTCATAAAATTTTATTATATTTTCTGCGCAGGCACCAGTTAATAAGTGTGTATAGTTTATTATTCTTTGCCTTAGTGGTTCTCCGTGTTTCTGCTCCAAAGAACAGTAGTGATTTGATATTAGAATTAAAATTTCAAGTTTAGTAATAGTTCTAAGTTATGTTGACCTCCATAAATTTCCTAGTGCCATGAAAGCTCCTCTTGTCTTTTATAATCCTATATTAATATCTCTATCAGTGCTCCTATCTTTATCTATATTACTGCCCAAACTGATGTACAATTCCACGTCTTGGAGTGGGATACCATTAAAAGAAACCACATTGCAATTTGTCTGATTTATTCTCATTAGCTTTTTTTTTCCCCTATGGAGTTTCAGACCTAACTGTTTTGATCTCGCACCAGGTATACCTTATTTATCTTGCATTTGATTCCGTGAGTGGGACAGAAGAGAATTATCATCAGCAAATTCAGATCACCAAGTTTTGTAGGTGTCCACTGAATTCCATTCTTGGTGTTAGCAGTTACTGTCTTCATAATGCAATTTATTGCCGGTAAAAATAGAAAAAAAGCGATTAAAGACATTCCTGTCGCACACCTGTTTTAAATTTCAAATATATCAGTTCGCTTTCCGTTCGTACACCTGTTTTTAATTTCAAATATATCAGTTAGCTATCCCTCATGAAAAACTCGACATTTCAGATTTGTATATGTTGCCTTTACTAAATTAATAATTTTCTGTTGAATTCCATAGTGCCCTACTAAAGTTTTTTCATAGTATATGAATCCAGTGAAATACGGTGAATTCAATACAATTCATTCCTGGATTATTTTACGTAATGTGGCTATCTGATCTGGTCAGTGCAGGATCTGTTTGCCCGAAATTTGCCTGTTCATCTCTTTGTGTTTTATCAATAGCATCTTTTAGTCTTTCTAAAAAGACCATAAATTCCAAATTTTTTTTTTTTACAGAAATTGACAGCAATACAACTCCTCTATAGTTCTCACACTCCTGTAGATCATCTTTTTTGGGGCAGTTTCACAAGATATCATTCTCTCCAGTCGGCTAGCATTGTTCAACATAAGATTGTTACCAACTCTATGCTATCAGTGTCAAACATGGACACTGTCTTCAGAAGACAGAATAAAAATTGTCACGACAGAAATGACATGTTCACTTACATTGCTAGGTGTAACACGGAAAGATCGACTTAGGAACGATGATACCAGAAGGATAGTCGGCACAGAAGCAGTATGGTACCTTACTGGTAGACAGCATAACAAATGGTTTGGTCATGTAACAAGATTGATATTAGACAGGGAGCCACAGAGAGTAATATTATACAGATACAACGGTAATAAATCCTGAGGTCGACTGCGCAAAATATGGACTGCAGAATTATCAGAGACACTGAAAAGAACTCCATATGATGCGGATAAAAGGGTCCGCTCAAGGGATCTGTTCCTGACCTGACGCTGCGAAACATTCTAGGAGTAGAGGAAAGAAGAAAACTAAGAAGAATGGGCACACAAAACCACTCTGGATCCTTCTATTTCCAACCATAACATGGTAGCCATTTTAGGTTGGGTCAGCCATAAGCCAAGATGAGTTTGGAAAACAGGAAATGCATTTGAATTAACTCAAACCCAAGATCTTGAGACTTGCAAAAGAGAGTAAGCCAGTTTGCTACCGGCTAAACTTTAATTAAAAGCGAAGGTTTGTGCTTAGAAATGTCGATACATCGACACTTAAAAATTGAGAAGAATTTTGTGCCATTCCGCTGTAAATGTGTCAAGAAGCAAAGCAACGAGTAAGTAAAGTAAGTAAAGGACCCTTTTCCACGTCTTTTTGGCGTATAGAGAATATAGGACTAGACCTATATTTTCATAGACAAAACGGCACAAGATGGGTAATGTGGTCAGTGAGTACACAAAATTTGACAACAGATGGCTGTGATAACTGATGTCAAGCCCCACCAGAACATCGCACCGATCGATAAACACCTGGTGACACAAAGGGATATCACACGGAGCGATAAACACCTGGTGACACAGAGGGACATCACACGGAGCGATAAACACCTGGTGACACAAAGGGACATCACACAGAGCGATAAATACCTGGTGACACACAGGGACATCACACGGAGCGATAAACACCTGGTGACACAAAGGGACATCACACAGAGCGATAAACACCTGGTGACACACAGGGACATCACACGGAGCGATAAACACCTGGTGACACAAAGGGACATCACACAGAGCGATAAACACCTGGTGACACACAGGGACATCACACAGAGCGATAAACACCTGGTGACACACAGGGACATCACACAGAGCGATAAACACCTGGTGACATACAAGGACATCACACGGAGCGATAAACACCTGGTGATACAAAAGGACATCACACGGAGCGATAAACACCTGGTGACACAAAGGGACATCACACGGAGCGATAAACACATGGTGACACAAAGGGACATCACACAGAGCGATAAACACCTGGTGACAGAAAGGGATATCACACGGAGCGATAAACACCTGGTGACACAAAGGGACATCACACGGAGCGATAAACACCTGGTGACACAAAGGGACATCACACGGAGCGATAAACACCTGGTGACACAAAGGGACATCACACGGAGCGATAAACACCGTGTTACACAAAGGCACATCACACGGAGCGATAAACACCTGGTGACACAAAGGGACATCACACGGAGCGATAAACACCTGGTGACACAAAGGGACATCACACGGAGCGTTAAAAATATTCTGTCACAAAGTGCCAAAATTTGGATGAAGATCACCCGGAAATAGGTCCAAGAAACTCCGTTCAACACATAAATTCGATTACATTAGGGCCCCGGCAACAGCTACGGAAAGGCTTTAAACTGACAATTACTGCCTCTATTATACAATTTGTTTAGTGTAGGCAGGGAAGTCTGTGAGCCTGGGGATTTTCGGCCGCATGGCTAGTGCTGTTGCCACGACTGTGCAGGTTGGAACTGTATTTTGCCCCCGAAAAAAAAAGAGATCCTCAGCCATACCAAGGATTCGAACCCGTGTCTCCCGGTTGAAAGCTTGGCGTTATAACTGTTCGGCCAGCCGCTCCCCGAGGGCGTTAATACAACAGTAAATTATGACTGACATAGGGACGGAGTATTAAGAGATTATGGTTCTGATGCTAACGGTGATCAGTATTTGACAGTTAGGCGACTAAGTTTTGTTGTTTTATTGGTATGCTGTTAGTCTGAATAATTTCACTTCCAGAGGCCTCATCTCTTTTAGCCATAATCAGGTCGTGTGATTACACATAAGCAGTTAGCTGTCTTACAGCCTGTGTTCACCACTTTTGCAGTGTAGGCATGGAAAGAGTGACGTGGGGAGGGCGGGGGGGGGGGAGCATGGGGGGGGGGGGGTCTAACTTATGGCCGCCTGCCTAGTTCTTTAGCCACGAACTGTGTCGGTCATGATTTCATTTTTGTCCCCGACAGAAAAAAAAAAGAATTCGTCAACCTTACCGAGGATTCGAACCTGGGTCTCCCGCATGACAGCTCTGGCTAGTCATGTTTTGTATGCATCCAGCAAATCTAAGCATGTATGTCTTGGGATCGATTTTAAAAAAGAGGCAGATGCTTTAAATATTGACCTTGGCTCCCAGGTCGACCTAGACTAAAACAGTTACCAAAAAATGTTCGGGAAAGTAAAGGCGATCAAAATGGTGATGACCATATCACTATTGGAATATCGTTTGGTCTCTACAAAGGCGCGTCTAGCACCCTATGTTCAACTCTCCAATAGCAGGAAAGTTGCCATTTATTGTTTACTGTATGTCCAACATTATCTGTGCAGGCAACAGACCAGGGAGGGTTGACCGCAACTGCCACAGTGACGATGAGTTTTATGGATTGCAACGACATCTACCCGCTTGTGAGTCAACCAGCGTATGAGTTCGCCACCACAGAGTGCATTGCCGGAGGTTTGTTACATTTTCTTTCATTTCCTCATGTTGTGGCGACCCTTTCATACGTTTCCTCACGTTGTGGCGACCCTTTCATACATTTCTCATGTTGTGGCGAACCTTTCATACGTTTCCTCATGTTGTGGCGACCCTTTCATACATTTCCTCATGTTGTGGCGACCCTTTCATACATTTCCTCATGTTGTTGCGAACCTTTCATACATTTCCTCACGTTGTGGCGAACCTTTCATACGTTTCCTCATGTTGTGGCGAACCTTTCATACGTTTCCTCATGTTGTGGCGAACCTTTCATACATTTCCTCATGTTGTTGCGAACCTTTCATACATTTCCTCACGTTGTGGCGAACCTTTCATACATTTCCTCATGTTGTGGCGACCCTTTCATACATTTCCTCATGTTGTGGCGACCCTTTCATACATTTCCTCATGTTGTTGCGAACCTTTCATACATTTCCTCACGTTGTGGCGAACCTTTCATACGTTTCCTCATGTTGTGGCGAACCTTTCATACGTTTCCTCATGTTGTGGCGAACCTTTCATACATTTCCTCATGTTGTTGCGAACCTTTCATACATTTCCTCACGTTGTGGCGAACCTTTCATACATTTCCTCATGTTGTGGCGAACCTTTCATACATTTCCTCATGTTGTGGCGACCCTTTCATACATTTCCTCATGTTGTGGCGAACCTTTCATACATTTCCTCCCGTTGTGGCGAACCTTTATTACATTTCCTCACGTTGTGGTGACCATTTCATACATTTCCTTATGTTGTGGCGACCATTTCATACATTTCCTCATGTTGTGGCGACCCTTTCATACATTTCCTCATGTTGTGGCGACCCTTTCATACATTTCCTCATGTTGTGGCGACCCTTTCATACATTTCCTCATGTTGTGGCGACCATTTCATACATTTCCTCATGTTGTAGTGACCCTTTTATACATTTCCTCATGTTGTGGCGACCCTTTCATTCATTTCTTCATGTTGTGGCGACCCTTTCATACATTTCCTCATGTTGTGGCGAGCCTTTCATACGTTTCCTCATGTGGTGGCGACCCCACAAACATAGTTATTTTCGTTATTACTTCATATCCTCAATGAATATTTGCTTTCCGATTGTCTTTGGCGACCTCTGTGAAAGGGTCCTTCGACCCAAAAAAAGGGTCGCGACCCACAGGTTGAGATCCGTTGTTCTAGTGGTTCAAGTCAACAGACGGAGAGCAAAGCATGGTTTAGACATTGACATTCGTAAAACAAATACTGCGACAATTAACGATGGAAATGCGCAACACACAGTGAACATCATAGCAGATGGAGAGAATTTAAAACAAGTAACAGGTGTCTCATCCTAAAGGAGAAAACGAATGGCTAAAATATCTTCAGTACGATAGGAAACATACTTTACAGCAAGACAAATAAACAACGCATTATAAATTAGAATCGTCAGTTGTCATGGATACTCAACTCTGCTGTGTGGTGCAGAAACTTCGACAGTTAAAACACAACTAGCAAATGCAACTTCGTCTCCAGAAATGTAAATATACAGACCAGGTCTTATTTCATGGAAACATAAACAATCATATACAGAAATTCTGAGAAAACTGCGAATGAAAAGAGAGGGACTAAAACACACACACACACGCACGCACGCGCGCGCACGCGCGAACACACACATGCACACATACACACGCACACACACACACGCGCACACACACTCGCACACACACGCGCGCGCACACACATGTGCACTCACACACACACACTCACACATACACACACAGTTATAATATTTCGCCCCTATACCACTCTTTTAAAAACCATCCTGGAGGGAAACGTAGAAGGCAAGAAAGAAAGAGGTAGACAAGGATATAAGTGGAAGGAGATCATCAAGCGATGTACGAACAGGAAGGAGCCTTAGAGAGTGCAATATAAAGACAAGAGACAGAGCGTTAGTGCTTTATTGCAGTCAACCTTCATTGCCGAGACAGCACTACATGGATTAACTGATGTGTCACAATAAATTAAAGTATATAAACTGTTTTCTATACATTATATTAAAAAAGAACTCAAGCCTATAAAGTGTTTATAAAAAGACAAGTATAAATTGTTTTACGTTCCATAACAAACTCACGCATGTAAACTATTTTATGCTTCAATACCTAATTCATAAACACTTATCTCTCACAAATAGGAACAATACTTGGAACTCTTGCAGCAATTGATGGTGATATCTCTGCACCCAACAACGTTGTGTATTTCGAGTAAGTTTTATCACACAGGATCAAATATACGGTTGCATATTTGTGTGTTAGTTACTTAATCGACTAGTTATCCTCATCCGGTATCGAACAAATCCATAAGCGCTCGGATCCCATCTTCAGTATTTCCCTCAGCATCTGGCGACTGATAACAAGAGCTCTGTGGTGGTTACCTCTTTGAATCCTAGGGGGTTAAGCATCACAGGCCCTATGGGTAGTAAAGAGAGACTAAAATCGACACATCATGCGTACATTCGGCTTCTAGGTAAGAACCTATGAACGTATGATGCGTTCCCTGGGACTCAAATAGTTACTATTCTTCCTTGGCTAATGTCTGTCTGTATGCTATTTATGTCTCGCGACTCCTCTTTTAAAAATAAAGTTCTTGTAGTACTGACAAGGCTGCCGAATCACATCGTCTCTTGAATCATCTACTTGTCAGTTCTTCATGAGAGCAATGCTGACAACCATGAATAGATGAACACATACATTTATGTGTACCACCTGGTTTGGAAGGATCTCTTCATCATTCATTTACATTAGTGGTTATCTTCAACCATGATCAAGATTTATGTTTACAATTTGTTTCCCACTCATCATCACCATTACCATCACCGCCATCAACATTATCACAATCACCACCACCTTCAACTTTCACTTTTGCAGTTAAGCGTTGTGGAGTTGTGGGGGAGGAGGACAGGGTAGGGGGGAGGGGGGCAGGTTTGTTCCTAACATTTGAAGGACAGCACTGGCTGTTGTCATCCCACGCGGATGTAGACCTCTGCTGTCATCCCACGCGGATGTAGACCTCTGTTGTCATCCCACGCGGATGTAGACCTCTGTTGTCATGCCACGCGGATGTAGACCTCTGCTGTCATGCCACGCGGATGTAGACCTCTGCTGTCATGCCACGCGGATGTAGACCTCTGCTGTCATCCCACGCGGATGTAGACCTCTGTTGTAATCCCACGCGGATGTAGATCTCTGTTGTCATCCCACGCGGATGTAGACCTCTGTTGTCACCCCACGCGGATGTAGACCTTTGTTGTCATCACTTCACTTTCTTTCGGGTCGCCTTGTTTTGATTTTACATCAGACCATGTTCAATGTAACACGTGTCTGCTAAAATGCTCAACCCTTTTACCTTCTATTTCTCAGTGAATGTGATGCAAAGTTTTGTCTATACAGTAAGAGTCCCATTTTCACACCTTCAAACGTACTGGGCACGTAGGGCTAGACATATATTTTATAGAACAATCAGCACTTCGTGGGTGAAGTGGTCAAGATCACACCGGTCGCTTTTACTTCCTAAGACTGCACCTTGTGTCGATTTTAGGCTGGGTTAACCTGGGAGCCAAGGTCATTAAAGAAAAATAAGGCTTTTTTAGGACCTTAACCACGACCTTCTGATCGCAGGCGAGCGTTTAGCTGCTATACCACGGCGACTCACTTTGTCGCCAACGCCTGTCAGATAATATCATGTCTCATTCAATCACGGTTGATGAAGTTCAAAGTTCGATATAACTTTCTTACTGTCAGAGCTGATTGACGTTCAAAGCTCGGTATAACTTTCTGACTGACAGAACTGATTGAAGTTCAAAGTTCTGTATGATTTTCTGACTGACAGAACTGATTAAAGTTCAAACCCACTAGGACCGCACAACGAGCGATATATACTCGGTGACACAAAGTGCCACTATTTAGATAAAATTACCCCAGCCCAAGTCCAAGATACCATGTTCAACCGTTAGATTACATTAGGGCTCCTGATGACTTTAAAATAAGGAAATCATAATAGGACAGCATCAGACTGCATACTTTTTAACTTTCTTTAAATGAAATACAAAAAGTAGTAAACATTTTGAACATATTTACAAATATAACATTGTTGTATCCGTTCATGAACTCTCGCGTGTATCTCGAGTGGGAGTCCTCATGGCTGGTTACATCTACGGAATTAAAAATAGATAGAGAGAGAAAGATAAAAAAGAGACGAATGCTGACTAGCATAAGTCGACTCCTACGACATGCTTGTTGAGGAGGCAGTGGGTCTATTCTTGCTTTTCCCACAGTGGGAGTCGGGAACCCACAAGGGAACCTCTAAGGAAAGAAAAGAAGAACGAACGAATGAACTTTATTTGCAAAGGGATTTAAAAATTGGGCACGCATGCTTGTTTTACATTCAGCCCTTCCAAGCAGTTATCTCTCGGACGGTAGTTACATCTTATATATCAAGTAGGGCTGTACCGAATATTCGCTTCGTAATCGCTTCGGGGCCGAATAGTGGACCTATTGACTATTCGGCATTCGGACCGAATACGAATAGTAGTTACCTTACACCCGCTTCTGCATAAACGGCCTTAATACTGACAACATGGAACGATTGGTTTTGTTTAAGCTAATGCAGTTTCGTGCATTAAGTAAGCTGTCAGTGAAAAAGTTTAGTTACTTGTTATAATACTTAGGATCCTTTCATTTCTAGTTATTAGTTACCACAGACTGACAGAAGGATGCAAAACAAAAAAATGTTTTTAAATATTTACTGTTCTGTACGAATACTAACTAGACATGGAAATAATATAAACTCCGGCCACATCCAAGTCGATAATATGAAAATGAAACGAACGGCAACATATAAGTACTTGGGTGCAAACTTCAACTGCTCTAACATGCTGAAAGAAGAAATACAATCTACAAATAAAGTATATTATGCCCTTCAACATCTGCTAAAGTCAAAGTGCTGTCTCGCAACACCAAGATAAAAAAATATAAAACGTTGATAAGACCAATATGGCTCTGAAATTTGTAGCAGAAATAAAAGAGACGAGGCCTTATTGCATGTTTTCGTAAACAGTCTTACGACAAATCTTTGGACCCATCAAAGATGCTAACAGCGGTGAATGGAGAGTGAGAAGCAACAACGTAACACATAATCTGTTAAAACTCTAATGATCACTGGCATCATGAGAGCTGACAGGCTAAAATGGTTGGGGCATTTTGAAAAAATGTCAGATGACAGAGATGAAAAACTGAATACACCTGAGAGAGGAGTGGGCGTAAACCACGAGGCAGACAAAAAAGAAGTTTGAAAGATAATGTCCAGTCAGACCTGCAAACACATGGTATCACAAATTGTGAAGAGAAGGCCAGCCAGAGAGATGAATGGAGACGAGTGATATCTGCAGCAGTAAACCTCGAGGGCTCAGAATGCTAAAGAAGGAGATGACTATTCTGTGCTACTTTATGTGAAGTAAAAGTTCAGCGTACATTTGATTTTTTAGATATACACTATTCGTATTCGTATTCGGCCGAAAAGTTGGTCCCGTTATTCGTATTCGGTCGAATAATGAATATCACTATTCGGTATAGCCCTAATATCAAGCATATTATATCATTGTGACAACATTCACTGTATAAATGTAAATAAGAAACACAAAAGCTTAGTGTCAAAAGATGATAAATGCATACCTTTAAATATTCATGCCAAAATACTAACACATCACAGACACAGGCAAGAAAAAGAAGAAGAAGAAAAAGTTAATAACAGAAACATAACTAATTTAGCGTCGACTTCATTCAGGGGTTCTGGCGGAGGTGCACAGGTGGGAACTGGAGGGGAGATTATCGTAACCCAACCCGGAGTGGCTGGCACTGTGATAACTTTCAACGTTTACGCCGTGGACCGTGGGATCAAACCGGGGCCTCTACGAAGTCCCACTCCCGCTGTTGTTAGTGTTCGCTTCACGGTATGTATAGTTCGCTAATTTCATCATCATCATCCCAGTTGTCGTTCTCGTTTTCACCGAAACCACATTCATCGCTATCACCACCACTATCAGCATCATCATTATCGGAGTTGTCAACAACATCCTCACCATAATTACTATCATCATCATCATCCTCATAATTAACACGATCATAGCACTCGTCGTCGACGTCGTCATCATCTTTTGCATCAATAGCGTTGTCCTCATGTCTTTCTAGTCGTCATAGTACTCGTTGTCGTCATAGTACTCGTCGTCGTCATAGTACTCGTCGTCGTCATAGTACTCGTTGTCGTCATAGTACTCGTCGTCGTCATAGTACTCGTCGTCGTCATAGTACTCGTCGTCGTCATAGTACTCGTCGTCGTCATAGAACTCGTCGTTCGTCGTTGTCGTCGTCAGAGTACATATCGTCATCATCATCATCATCATCATCACCACTACCACCACCACTTAAACCAAACTCATTGTCGTCGTCATAATACTCATCATCATCATCATCATCATCATCATCATCCTCAATATCATTGTCATCGTCATAGTACTCTTCCTAGTTTCATCATTATAACTACCATTAATACGATTGTCATTGTTGTCATCATTATATTACTCGTCATAGTTGTCATAGTACTCGTCGTCGTTGTCATCATCTTCATCATTATCATTATCGTCATTAACATTATTGTCGTTGTCATAGTAAGTGTCGTCATTGTCATCATCGTCATCTTCATCATTATCATTAACATCATTGTCGTTGTCATAGTACTCGTCGTCGTTGTCATCATCTTCATCATTATCATTATCGTCATTAACATTATTGTCGTTGTCATAGTAATCGTCGTCATTGTCATCATCGTCATCTTCATCATTATCATTACCATCATTGTCGTTGTCATAGTACTCGTAGTCGTTGTCATCATCGTCATTATCATTATCGTAACATCATTGTCGTCGTAGTCATAGTATTCGTCGTCATCTTTGTCATTATCGTCTTCAACATCATTGTCGTCATAATACTCGTCGTCGTTGTCATCATCATTATCATCAACATAGTGGTTGTCGTCGTCTTTGTATTCGTCATATTCCTCGTCGTGGTTATGATCATTATCATCAACATAGTGGTTGTCGTCGTCTTTGTATTCGTCATATTCCTCGTCGTGGTTATGATCATTATCATCAACATAGTGGTTGTCGTCGTCTTTGTAGTCGTCGTATTCCTCGTCGTGGTTATCATCATTATCATCAACATAGTGGTTGTCGTCGTCTTTGTAGTTGTCATCAACATCACTGTTGTGTTATAATCGTCGTCCTCCTTGCGTCATTGTGAAAAAACATCATCATCAGTATCATCCTGGGGCTCTTTCTAGAGTCGGCGATTATGCCAAGCTGTTTTGTGTGTGTGTCTGTTTCGTAAATGATCGATTTTATTACGTACTGATACTTTCCTAAGCGCTCTCGTCTGCTTGTATAGATCACATAAGGTGTATCCCAGCTCAAGTTCCACGCTAAAACAATCTAGATCAAAGTCTGTATTAACCCATTCACATAGCTTTTTGTGTGCTTTTCGTGATAACAATTTTGTCATGTAGTGATTGGAACTCATTTGCAGTTGCGTAGGAAAGGGGAAAAGCGTGACAGCGGGTAGGGATTGCGGAGGTGCAGGTCACCCAGAGTACCATCACTGGGGCAGTGTGGGGTGTCAGAGTGGCAAAATAAGTGTTTTTAACATTAAAAACAAAGGTTGTGTGTATATGGATATGTGTGTGTTGGGGTATAAGCGGAAAATGTCCGCACCATGTACCACCTGACCTTGCATACATGTAGAGGCAAGTCACAAGGACACAGAGAACGCACTAGACAACAAATTGAAAAGTACAAGAGAACAAACAAAGGAAACAAACTTTACCGACAGAAAGAAATCCTCGTCACTTTGCGGTTACCTTGGTGAAACAGACAATGTGTGAATGTAGTCGATTTTGTGTTTCAGTTTAAAGGATTCACTTATTTGCTTCACTGATGTAATTGTTACTGTATTATGTACCTGACGAGATACAGCGAAATATGCCAGGCGATAAATTGTGCAATCTATTGTTTGTGACTTCTCCGAGCGCCCCCCCCCCCTCTCCCCCTTTACTGCAGCGAGGTACCGTCTTCAAATTCACAACGGGGAAACATTGTTTAAACCACACACACAAAATTTTTTTTTTAAACGCAAGGCTGAATAGACACCACAGGAACAGGTAAGTGCACCAAGGTACTTACTTAACCAGCAAGAACCCCAGCAAGTATTGTTTCAACGTATGGCCAACTTTTGGATTCTAATGCCATGTCAGTACTGCTGTATGGAGCGGAAATATTTAACACAGCTAGAGTAATTATTAATAAACCAAAAACATTCGGAATAGTTGGAGATAGATCGTAGGATAGAATCAATAATATTGACTTTGGGAGAGAACTAAACAAATTCCATTTAATCAAGAGGTAAAGAAAAAACGGCGTTGTTGCACAGAAAACACTTTGAGGAAACGTGACAACATTATAACTAGAATATCTTTGCACTGAAGCCCACATAGGCATAGACATAACTGTAGGAAAAAACAGCAACATGGAAACGGGCGCTAGTGAGTGAAGATAAAAAAAAATAATAGGAAAGACCACTCGGTGACCCGGCTGCTTATTGGCTGGCCGGTAGACGACTTCGTCACCGATCGCGACAGTATTTTTAGTCGGTCTCCTTTGATCACATTAACACTGCAGGCGTCCTATTAGGGGCTAGTGGTGGCGTGTAAAGCTTAACCACTTTATATGGCACACGTAACCTGGTCACAATTATAACCTGAAGCTTCCTCTTCAGAGATGCTGGTTGAACTTGACTCCTCTCCCCCTCCCCTCCCTTTGGCAGCGCACCTTACTACGATAAAATGACATGGGATGAGTTGCATGTATCATCAGAGAACAGGACGACTGAGCGTATGTTGGTTGAGGGTCTATGTTCCACTGGGGGATTAAGGGCAACAGAATAAGCACATCAACAACAATATCAACAACAACAAACACAGTATTACCTTAATCAATATCAAGAGTCAAATGTCGATTCTACACTGCCTTAAAAAGTGATGCAAACAGGCATTACAGACAGAAAAAGCCATATTTATTCAGAAACAGTAATCTCTTGTCTGATTTATCAAGAGATTATTAACTCACTGATCCTCTTAGTTTTTCAATAGTTTTCTCCAGAAAGGAGGAAAAAGAGGGTTGAGGCGGGAAACTATAGTTTTCCTACCATCTGAAAATCCACATCTTGCATACATTTCAGCGTACTAGGATGCGAGGCCTCCTAACCACCTCACATGTCAACATTTGACAAATATGGCTATCACACGATTTTCTGCTCCCTTTAGACCAGTGGATTTAAACTTTTCCTCAGGTGGCGCCCCTGTATTATATTTGATAAAACCTCCCGTCCCCCTAACTTTAAAAAAAAAATGATGAAAAAGAGGACAACTGAAAAAATCCAAAACATCGATAAAAAGAACCTTGAGTAAAACATATATAAAATTTTAATTGAATATTGAAATGACATCATAGCACTCGGGACACTCCAGAAAGCGACCCGTCCTCATCTTCAGCAGCGAGCGAAGAGTTCCAATTCCAATGGCACCAGCAACTGTCTGATTGTATATCCGTCTGGCTTTTTCTTTGAGTGTTGAGCATCGGCCAGATCCCCTGGTAACTTCTCGTAGCGCCATTCTCCTCAGACCGTAATGATCCATTTGTGCCTCCACACTGTTCACTCGCCCCCAAAGGCCTTTACAACATCTAGCTTGCCATATATTAATTTACCATTAAGTGGTGCAGCACCGGCAGTTTACCTGCCTGCTCATTTCCCAACACATCTGTATGACCTGGAGAAAAATCCCAAAACGGTACAGCCTAAGTGATGCATGCCTGTTTCTACCTTTCTCAACATGCCCTGTACGTCATACATCAAAGTGACATATATCATCACGCCTTGTCTTTCTTAAAATTAATAATACATAATTTTATTGTAACAAAGGTAAAGGTGAAGGTAAAATCGGGAGATGTGAACCAGCGTCATTGCACAGGTTATAAACTGTAAGTGCTCTGCCACTAGTACGGACAGCTGATACGAAACTGTCGGCCTGTGTCGCCATCCGCACGCAACTCCGTAGCTACAGCGACGTTCCTCAATTTACCACAGAGTGTTAACTCTGGTACCCATTACTAGAGCCTGGGTAAAACCCGGGAACCGCCCGGTTTCGAACACCGGCCTTTATTGAAACAAGTATAAGTAGTCATTTTTGGAATCGCATGATGCCTCTTTAAGACGTGCTTGCACTGACCTTTGGAGGCGCGTCGTACACATTGAAAACCACTGCTCTAGACAACCTGTCAGGGATTAAAACCTAACGCTATCATTTATAATGATAATGCAACATAAACCAGGTTAATGACATTTGTCTTGGGCCATCTTATTGCAAAGACGGAAGAAACAGAAATCAGGTAGAAATGTTGCTAAAGAAGTTAATAATAATGAAAGGTAAACAGCATTTGACGTGTCGATAATAAAAGAGAGTGAATTAACGTCTGTCGAAAGGGAGAGAAATGTGGCAATCACGTTAATGGTTTATCACGTTAAAGGTTTCCTATAGATAATTACCTATCTTCCCGCATGACGTTAAACCAAATCACCCATCAAGTGCCGATTCGTGAATAAACAATATAAGTCTATAATGCGTTTCAAAAGTCGTGCTTCACACTTCAACAAATATCTAGAAAAATTAAAGGACGGAAAAATATGGATTTTATCGTGTAGCCTTAGATTTTCTATGCACCTATTATTTTGTAATTTATAACACGTCATTTGCTTAATTCTGGGCACGTAATTAACAAGGACAGCGCTTTCCGGTTGGTACCACATATCGAACAGACGACTGCTGATAACGGCCAAAGCTTTAACAATTAAAATCAACAACCTCTTCAAGCAGACGCAATTTATAGTAAATGTGAAGTTATCCTGGTAAGTCAGGTGACAAAGTTAACTTCCGGCGACTATACAAACACCATACATCAAAAGAAACCATTCGCTTTTCAGCTTGATTTATTCATTTGTGTGCTTCAATTTATGTTGATGTAACACCCTTACATGGACACTGGAAGGGAAAAGAAAACGAGGAAGACAGAATGAAACTATACGCAGAACCATCATCAGGGAAGGGTCAGTCGTGGGCCTAACAAACATCCAAGACCTGAAGCAGGAAGCCACGAACGGCCAGACAGGAAGAGCTACGTCCTCTGCCCTACGCGTCTCCCTAGGTTCAAAAGGAAAGCCTAACTAACTCCGTAGAAACACAACTGACGAGACATCGCGAAATAAACTGTGCAATGTATTGTTTGTGTCCGCATTATTTAAATTCTCTACGGTAAAACATTCGTTTAAATATCTAATTCCTTGTCACAATTGTTGTTTTATGCTCTTATTGTACATCGAAACAGTAATAATGCTGAGTACGTAAGCGTAATAAATCTGTTGGGGAAAAAAGTATAGTATCATAGGTCTCACGTGGCACTGATGTCAAATAAGTCATCTATGTACGTTTTACACACCCCCCCCCCCCAGCCGTGTCCAACACCTCCTCCACCACAACCGACACTGGCACCTACTGCAGCACCACCTGCCACAGCAGCACCAACAACGCCGAAACCAACGACAACTACAGCACCCAAGAAGTTCACCAGAACTGACAGTGTAAGTATTTTAATGTGGTCGTATTCACTTCTTAATCTCTCTCTCTCTCTCTCTCTCTCTCTCTCTCTCTCTCTCTCTCTCTCTGGGAGTGTGTATGTGTGTGTGTGTTTGTATGTTTGTCTCTGCCTGTCTTTCTGTCTTTCTGACACATATATAAAACACTTTGAGAATATGCAAATGTATTAAGCAACACGTCTACCCCTAATAGAGAATATCACAGTGCCTTAAAAAATATATTATATATCTAGCTATAACATAACGACAGAAAACGGACACAAAGCAGGAGGAAGATGATAGGAGGGGTAGGAAGATGAAGAAGTAGCAGTAGGGAAAGAAGATATATAGATAGATGTGATAGCTAGTAGCTAGGTTTGTTCCAAACGTACTGGTTTTACCTTTTCTTTGGAGTAAACAAGGCAGGTCGAGGGAGGGATCATGAAACATGGACAACATATGGTCTCTACAAAACTGCCCAGGCTTACTATGGAAAGGATGAACTTCATCCCTGGCCTTAACTGGTCTCTGAAACACATTGTGAAAAGCTTTTCTTGACACGGGCGGAACCTGCTAGTCACACTCGCCATCGCCATGGGCTGTGAGGCTCATTCCACCTCATAGCGCAACACAACACTATCGTCTAGAAAGACGGAAAGGTGCCAATCAATCAGTCAGAGTAGAAATGTACACAAACTGGCAGAATTGGCGAGAAACCGAGCTTCGTGATGAACCAGTGATGATAGAGGCGTTCTGCAAAATGCTTGCTACATCGTGATAACGTCTTTCCTACCAATAGTACGCCGTTCTATGGCAGTGTAAAGCAGGATTGTTTTGACCCTAAAGCTTTTGCTAGATGCTACACACTTTGCAGGTTAGTGTGTTTGATTGTGTTCTCGACAACAAAACCTCTTATCACCTTGCCTAGGATTCAAACTCGTCTCCGAATATGAGAATTTGAGTTCTAATCACTCGGCCAGATGCTGCTCAAATAATATCATACACAGAAAAAGATAGAAGGCTAACACCTCATACTTAAATCACCCCCAGCATAAAAAAACAGTTCAAAACTTTTATTGAAATATGGATATACATATGATAGTACTAACGATTGACCATTTGAAACCGTTAACATACATAACGTATCATATCTCTTGACCCATTAGGGTCGTTGAGGTGTATTGATGAAAGCACTAGCACATAAAATGCCACATGTTTCTCTGTCTTCTGCTCGATAAATAAGTATACGATAACTTAGTCCAGTCCATTTCTTGATGTTGTCATTCCAGTTTCTTCTTTGCCCTCCTCTTCTTCGACTACCACTTAATGTTAGTTAATCTGAGGACGAATCGCAAAGATGATTATCATAATATTTTTGTAGACTTCACCAATTGTTTAAAAAATATATATGTATTAAAAATATAAGAATTGTGCACGTAACTGAGCAGCATTCGCCCGTTGTACACAATGTAACGTATTTACTTGAGGTCTGAGGTTTAAACAACGGATCAACATGATGGCACGCGGGTAGTAACCAATAACTGCTCCGAAGTAGTCCAGCGCAGTGCAATGTCTCCGTAGAACTTGCGATGATCCTGCAAATATTTGGGTAGATTTTTAACTCCACGTTTTGCCTTGGGCAGCGCCGTTAGTCTACTCTTTTTGATGTCCAACTGCCAATGGATTATTTAGGTGCGCAACACAACACACGGACGTCAGATCTGATTACCCAAAGACTAGGGGAAATTACTAGAAGGCCACGTGTACAGAAAAAATCCCAGCCTTCACCGGGGTTTCACCCCGGGACCTCTAGCACTCGAGACGGACACCATACCTCGAGACCATGGGGTCCCCTCAACATATTCACTTAATTCAGTCAAAGCATGAACACATTTCTCGATTGACGCCTTTTTAACAATGCTGTAGGCATGACAGACTAACGTGACATTTATTTAAAAATATAGGCTGAACATTGTTCCACAGATTCTGAAAAAGAAAAAAGAAAAAAAAAATATTGCAATAGAAGGCAAAATGTGCAGGAAGTGATAACCACTCGCAGTGAGAAACCAAAACAGACTTTTCCCTCTATGGGTTAAAATTTCAAATGAATTTATCTCATGTTCTTTTTTTCCTCTATTGGCTGCAGAAGTTCGGCATGATTTAAACTGAGAACAACTAGTAGCTTATGAGTCGCCTTAATATGTTAAAGAGAACACTGCTAGCTGTAAAAACTGCACAGCCTACGTTCGACCTTAAAAGAACAGTTGACATGTTGTTGTATGATGTATGAGCTTGCGATACCTGTGCATTTCTGATTTTCATAAAATTCCAATAAATCTATTTTTACCGGTCTCCAAAATGCCCAGCCCTGCCGCCCGACTACCCTGAGAATACTACATCCGTAATCCGGACTGGTCGGCTGTGTGGCTAAGTCGATGCGAACGCTTCGTAATGCCGGGATGCCGGGTTCGATCCCAGCTGCGGGCCATGTGTCTTGCGTTGGTTTCGACAGTGGTATCAAGAAAGCCGACAGCCCAGAAAGCAATGGCAAACTACTGGACGTAAATTTGCTGAAAAACCACACAACATGCAAATGCTGTTGTGGTTGGATCTGCAACGTCCTATAAAGGAAACGCAACTAACCTAACCTAATCCGGACTGAACAGGAAAACCGCCCAGAAAAGGTTTATTTATGTTTGCCTTTGCCGTTTGGATTTTACTCGTGACTTGGTTTTGTGACCGATCCTGGTCCCTTTGACCAGACCAGTTCAGAAGAGCTACACACTATATTATAGCTAAAAGGCCGAGATGCGATCCTTTATAAACATTTATTTAGTTGCTTTGTACGACAGATTGTTAAAGGGTCAGTAAGTTTAATTCTTCCCCCACCCCAACACGGGGCATTGGCGGAGCACTCTATACTTGAATATATGTTGGCAGGACCCGAATCTTCCTTGGATTATAATCGCTGCTCTGCTGGGAGCTTTCATGCTGGGACTTCTGACTTATATGCTCTGGAGATATGGACGTCTCTGTATGGATGCCTGCGGTAGAATCAACTGTGCCAAGACTTGCAAGGGGAGACCACCAAGGCCAAAGAAAATCATAGAAAGGTAAGTGAGCGAAAGATGTTTGTTTGCGTTAACCGGCTGTAAAATGTTTCTTTGCGTTAACCGGCTGTAAAATTTTTGTTTGCGTTAGCCGGCTGTAAAATGTTTGTCTGCGTTAGCCAGCTGTGAAATGTTTGTTTGTGTTAACCGGCTGCAAAATGTTTGTTTGCGTTAGCCAGCTGTTAAATGTTTGTTTGTGTTAACCGGCTGTAAAATGTTTGTTTGCGTTAGCCAGCTGTGAAATGTTTGTCTGCGTTAGCCAGCTGTGAAATGTTTGTCTGCGTTAGCCAGCTTTGAAATGTTTGTTTGCGTTAGCCAGCTGTGAAATGTTTGATTGTGTTAACCGGCTGTAAAATGTTTGTTTGCGTTAGCCAGTTGTGAAATGTTTGTCTGCGTTAGCCAGCTGTGAAATGTTTGTCTGCGTTAGCCAGCTTTGAAATGTTTGTTTGCGTTAGCCAGCTGTGAAATGTTTGTCTGCGTTAACAGGCTGTAAAATGTTTGCTTGCGTTAGCCAGCTGAAAAAATGTTTGTTTGCGTTACCCGGCTGTAAATAGTTTGTTTGAGTTATCCGGCTGTAAAATGTTTGCTTGCGTTAGCCAGCTGTAAAATCTTTGTTTGCGTTAACCGGCTGTAAAATGTTTGCGTTAACCAGTTGTAAAATTTTGGTTTGCATTAACAGGCTGTGAAATGTTTGTTTAAGTTAACCGGCTGTAAAATATTTGTTTGCGCTTACCGGCTGTAAAATGTTTGTTCCCGTTAACCAGCTGTAAAATGTTTGTTCCCGTTAGCCAGCTGTAAAACGTTTGTTTGCGTTAGCCAGCTATGAAATGTTTGTCTGCGTTAGCCAGCTTTGAAATGTTTGTTTGCGTTAGTCAGCTGTGAAATAATTGTCTGCGTTAACAGGTTGTAAAATGTTTGCTTGCGTTAGCCAGCTGAAAAATGTTTGTTTGCGTTAGCCATCTGTAAAAAGTTTGTTCGTTACCCAGATGTAAAATGTTTGTTCCTGTTAACCAGCTGTAAAATGTTTGTTCCCGTTAGCCAGCTGTAAAACGTTTGTTTGCGTTAGCCAGCTGTGAAATGTTTGTATGCGTTAGCCAGCTTTGAAATGTTTGTTTGCGTTAGTCAGCTGTGAAATAATTGTCTGCGTTAACAGGTTGTAAAATGTTTGCTTGCGTTAGCCAGCTGAAAAATTTTTGTTTGCGTTAGCCATCTGTAAAATGTTTGTTCGTTACCCAGATGTAAAATGTTTGTTCCCGTTAACCAGCTGTAAAATGTTTGTTCCCGTTAGCCAGCTGTAAAACGTTTGTTTGTGTTAGCCAGCTGTGAAATGTTTGTCTGCGTTAGCCAGCTTTGAAATGTTTGTTTGCGTTAGCCAGCTGTGAAATGTTTGTCTGCGTTAACAGGCTGTAAAATGTTTGCTTGCGTTAGCCAGCTAAAAAAATGTTTGTTTGCGTTACACGGCTGTAAATAGTTTGTTTGCGTTATCCGGCTGTAAAATGTTTGCTTGCGTTAGCCAGCTGTACAATCTTTGTTTGTGTTAACCGGCTGTAAAATGTTTGTGTTAACCCGCTGTAAAATGTTGGTTTGCGTTAACAGGCTGTCAAATGTTTGCTTGCGTTAGCCAGATGAAAAATTTTTGTTTGCGTTACACGGCGGTAAATAGTTTTTTTTAAGTTAACCGGCCGTAAAATGTTTGCTTGTGTTAACCGACTGTAAAATGTTTGTTTAGGTTAACCAGCTGTAAAATGTTTGTTTTCGCTAACCGGCTGTAAAATGTTTGCTTGCGTCAGCCAGCTGTAAAATGTTTGTTTGCGTTAGCCATCTGTAGAATATTTGTTCGTTACCCAGCTGTAAAATGTTTGTTCCCGTTAGCCAGCTGTAAAACGTTTGTTTGCGTTAACCGGCTGTAAAATGTTTGTTTGCGTTAACCAGCTGTAAACTCGGGGATAAAAAGTAAACTCTGGGAAAAAAAAGGTTCTTGTTATTCGTCTATTTCTTAACTTTGGCTAGATCCCAAGACCCGAGTGTTACATTTGCCTCTGTTTTACAAATTTGGCATATTTGTAAGCTGTCTGTTGATTCCTTGTTCCTTAGATAAACGCACTCCGACTTCGAAGGACACATTCATCCTATATAAAGGTCCGCAAAAACAAAATGTAACCAATTCTCAGACCAGTGACGGCTGAAGAGAAGACGTAGTTAATAGAGAAAACAAAACTAGCTGAAGCCTCTCTCACGGACAGAAAAACAAAACAAAACTCGTCATTCAATGACGTCTGCCACAAAAGTAACCTCCACAGTTTCATGTCCAGTCTGAAACGAGCGAGAGCCGCTTATGCGCACACGGTGTTACAGTGGAGGAGACGAAAAAACATCCTAACACCCCAACAACATAGCAGAGCTCGTGGGAACAGGCCGCGTCAGGAATGGGAGTCGGAGCGAGATGCTGGCATCTTCGTGATATGTACCAAAATTGTATAAGGCAGCTGTCAGATGTTCCAATACTAACAGTCCCAAACTAGAATTACCTCTAACTGTTGAAGAAAACACCCGTTTTGCATAAGGGTTTGTACAATTAGTGCAGTACCTGGTGGCACCCAAGATGAAGTTCGAGGTATCCCCTTTTAAATGTATCTGTAACTGAAATCATAGGAGCAAGAGGGAGAAATGGGAAAGGTGAAAAAAAAAAAAACTGGGAAAGAAAAACGATATATATATATATATATATATATATATATATATATATATATATATATATATATATATATATATATATATATGATGAGGTGCTTTGCATCGTCTCCCCGATTACATTGTTGCAAGCAGAAAGTCCGTGCTACAAGTGACGGCACAAGATACCTGTGGCTAGTCGAGTAAGCGAGGGAAAGCCCGAGCTAGTCTCGTGGTCAGTTGATCATCAGAAGTTGTAGAAGACGGTTGTATTTGTAGAAGATGTAGTCCCTATGTCGTGCGTGTGACCAGTATTTGAATAAGTCGCGAGTGATAGAAGAGTGAATAATTGTTGAAGCATGTGGAATAAATGTAACTGAATAAACTGATAGTATGTACAAAGATGCCGAGTGGAGTTTGTGTTATCAACCCTAGATGTTCGAGCAGTGCAAGTTATGTTGCAGTAATCATAGAGAGTGAACCATGACGAAAGCCAATACGTAGGAAGCAAAGTTGCATTTCAAGGTTCGTTCCCAGGTAGTTGAAAGCCACGACTCATTCCAATATATATATGTATATATATATATATATATATATATATATATATATATATATATATATATATATATATATATATACATAAAAACACACACACACACACAGAGAGAAAGAGAGAGAGAGAGAGAGAGAGAGAGAGAGAGAGAGAGAGAGAGAGAGAGAGAGAGAGAGAGAACAAAGCCACGCTCAACGGTTTAAAGAGTGGGAACATGCGTGTTATACCGTCGGTTGTCCATAGTTATAACAATGGCGGTCTGTAATCGCTTATATTAACATTTACATTACTATTACCATTACATTTCGAAAAAAGGGGAGTGAAATATCTGATACTTAGGGTTTCCATTTCTTCCTTGAGTTAGTATCTCAGTGTTTTCCATATTCTTCGCTTCCCTAGTTATTGCGTTGTCAATCTTTGTTTCCTTGTTTTGTGTTTCCTTTACCCTGCTTGCACTATTTCTTCAGAGGTAGCGCGGTCTCGAGGCATGGCGTCTGCTTCAAGTGCTGGAGATCCCGGGTTCAGGCCCTGGTGAAAGCTGTGATTTTTTTCATGTTGACTTCTAGTAAATTCTCCTGGTCTTTGGGCACTATGGTCGATGCCCGTGTATATTGTCGTGCACGTAGGAAAAATCCTAGCCAGAACGGAGCACTTATGGGTTACCCATTGTGCCATGATGTTGATCCCTCGTCTAAACTATTTAAACCAAACCACCATTTCTTACTTTCTGTCTGTTTATCTGTCTGCCCTATCTCACTTTTCTTTTTATTTCTTTATTACCCCGTCTCTTTTTTTTACAATATACTCAGACGTGTATTCACACACACGCACTTCGTTATATCCTCCACCGCCCAACCTTACAACAATCTTCATGATTGGTCTAATTGTTTCGCTTCGCTGTCCCAGCGCCTGATCGATTGGATTAAACTTTTTGTTTGCGCCATTGATTCTCTCACTACCTTCACCTTACTGGCTCTCTGTGCTTACGATTGCTTGAGGACAAACCACTTATCTACCTTGTTATAAAACACTTACTGGCTGTTAATTCTGAGCATCTCCTATACCCTCAGGGCTATAGTGGCAGGGTTAACGAATTGAGAGATGGACGTGTGTTGAATAAAACAGTTCGGTCCGTAGATGTACTTGTTGAGAAACATTGGATTGAAAATGAGTTATAAAATTTAAATTTTGTTTTATGGTTTCTACTTCATCTTAATCTTTTCAATTTTCTTTTTTTTTTTTTTTTTTGTCTAGTTTTTCGTGTTCTTTTTTTTTCGGTATTAACAGTATAAACATCTCACCCCACAACGATACACATGTCTTCCCACACAAGGATACAAACATATCACTACACAATGATATAAACATCTCACCAAACAATGATATAAACATTCCACCACACAAGTATATAAACATCTCACCACACAACAATTTTAACAACTCACCACACAGTGATATGTGTACCTCACTACATAGTCAACAAAAACATCTCACCAAACAACTCCACATAAATTTCATTACTATGAGCACGTGTGGTGTGACATCCCCAGTAGTCTCCCATGCAACACATAGCTTTTTTTTTTTTAAAGCAATAACTCGTCGATTACCCCGTTGCGCGATGTATTTTATTTAGCAGTAACTCGCCGATTATCCCGTTACTTGATGTATTTTTTTTAGCAGTAACTCGCTGATTATCCCGTTACTTGATGGATTTTTTTAGCAGTAACTCGCCGATTATTCCGTTACTTGATGGATTTTATTTAGCAGTAACTCGCCGATTATCTCGTTACTTTACGGAATTTATTCAGCAAAAACTCGCCGATTATCTTGTTAATTGATGGATTTTATTCAGCAATAACTCGCCGATTATCTCGTTACTTTACGGAATTTATTCAGCAAAAACTCGCCGATTATCCTGTTAATTGATGGATTTTATTCAGCAATAACTCGCCGATTATCTCGTTACTTGTCCTCATTAAATTGCTAGTTGAGCGTCTGAAATTTATTATTTGTGATGGAGAGCCCACATTTTTTTTTAAAAATTATGTCATCACTAGTATGTTTTCTAAACAAACAACTTCTCTGTCTGTAACTATTTTTTTTGGGTCTAGCCTCTTTCACCAGCCCCCCCCCCCCCCCCCCTTTATCCCCATTCCACCCCCTCCGCTTTTTACTGTTGCTCTTTACATATACACACACATGCGCGCGCGCGCGGACAAAATACACATACATAAAAAAATTAGAAAATTTTTTGTTTGAATTGAACAACGTACTAGTTTGTTTGAAATTTGTCCTGTTTGATTTGAAAAGTGTCCAGACTGATTTGCAAAATGTTCGGTTTGATTCGAAAATGTTCGGTTTGATTTGAAAAGTGTCCAGACTGGTTTGCAAAATGTTCGGTTTGATTCGAAAATGTTCGGTTTGATTTGAAAAGTGTCCAGACTGGTTTGCAAAATGTCCGGTTTGATTTTAAGAGTCCTATAGCGCGTTTCAAAACTCAGACCGTCACACTTTGACAAATCTCGAAAACTCATGCTCAGATCAACACGAATTTTTGCATTTGGCCTTAGATTTGCCATGTCCCCGTGACTCTATAATTTACAGTTGCGCAGATGCTGCTGTTTACTTAAAGCGGCGAATTTCTGTGATCTTTTTTTTTTTGGCTTGATAATTTCTGTAACCCGGAATAAAAAGAATATAGGGTAATGATACACATGTGGAGACTTGTTTGTCAATCACTTCGTGTGTGCATTCACGTTGGTGACTATTTTGATAACCTTTTCCATACTCAATGAAAAATCCGTAACTCACGAGAGTTATGCTGGAGATGACCACCTAAGAGGGAAACGGCTATGACACGCCTGCAATTTGATGTTCTGAAAAGTTCCCCCTACTCAGTTTATCCAACTTACTCTGGGCAGGCTAGCTATTTGTTTTGAATCGGTTTCTGTTTTTTTTTCCATACATACTGCAAATAGTCGGCTTTGTGGCTAAGTCGATGCGAACGCTTCGTAATGCCGGGATGCCAGGTTCGATCCCAGCTGCGGGCCATGCGCCTTGCGTTGGTTTCGACAGTGGTATCAAGAAAGCCGACCGTCCAGTGAGCAATGGCAAACTGCTGGACGTAAATTTGCCTTGAAAAACCACTCAACAGCTAGGGGCTGTTGGGGTTGGTTCTGCAACGTCCTGTAAAGGATACGAGACTAACCTATACTGCAAATAAGGCAACATGAAAACTAGAGGTTTGTTTATGCTAAAAAGAAAATACATACAAGGCTTGATTATTTACACGCTACATGTCATATATCATCAACCTACACCGAACGGTTACTTTCTTTCTATCCATTAATTCTTTCATCTGTCTGTCTGCTGTCTGTCTGTCCTAATGGTCCTGTACGTGACTGCCAATCTGTTTACACGTCAGTCAGTTGACGTCTTTACTTTCCGGTCTAAATGAATGTCAAGCTATCTATTTATGTCTCTGTATATCAGTGAATTTCTCTATAATTTTCATATATTTCATTTATTTGCTTTATTTAAAAAAATGCCAGGCTGTAAATTGCGCAATATTTTGTTTGTGTCGTGTGTGTTCAAATTTACAACGTGGAAATATTGCTTTGATTTATATAAAAGTTGAGAAAATTTTTTTCACGCCTCCAAGCTTGTTGGGAATATAGGGTTAGACAAATGTTATATAGACCGATCGGTATTCGATTGGTGATGTGTTCACCATGGCACTGGCCGCCTTTGCTTCCGAGGACTTTACAATTTAAGGCTGGGTCGACTTGGGAGCCAAGGTCATTTATGAAAAAGAACGGCTTTGTCTGGATCTGAACTCACGACCTTCAGCTCACCAGGCGAGTGTTTAGCTGTTATAACAAGTCGGCTCTCATATATATATATATATATATATATATATATATATATATATATAATCATGAAGTATTTATATATTCGTGCAATAAATTGTCTGTAGAAACCTGTTACCATCTCGCAGAATATAATACAGAAAGTGTAGTAATTGTAGGAACATGAAATCAATGAAATATGCACCTTTAGGATATTCTTCTGTGCAGACACACTAGTGAAGTTTAAAGAACACCTAAGACACATTCTTCAAACATTGACAAAAACAAAACAAAAAAGCTAGCTATGGGCAAACAGCTAACCAATCTGTATAGCACATTCAAAAAACATTAATATGATTGCGTATTTATAGTGGGTGATTTTGAATATTTCCGGAATGTGACATAAAGGACGCCTGACCAGTCTTTTGCCATGATTTATCGGTTACAATGTTTAGATATTATAATAAAAGGACGAATGAATGAATCAAGGACTGACATCGATGCACTCAGGGCATTCCGACAGGTGGTATGTTCA